TTAGCATTTTTCAATGAGTAGTGTACTTGGATGATAAACTTATTTTTTCAAGAGTTCAAATTTTGGAAGACAAATTTTATAGCAATTTGGAAGATGAATCAGGATCTGAGAGAATCGGAATAAATAATATCCATCTAGAGGTAATACAGTTTGAAAACTCTCATTTTTCCTACTTTTTTACGCAACAATACGTGACCTGAGCACAGTTCAGGGAATTTACTTGAAGCTCACCGGTGCGAAATTAACTGGAAAAGCTTTCACTGTCTTGACAAATCAAGACAGACAATTCGAGACTGGAAAAATGGAGACAAAAACTTTGAGACGGGGCCAATTCCTGACAGGGAAAATTAGAGACAGGAACAATTTGAGACAAGGACAATTCGAGACAGGGAAAATTTGAGACAAGGAAAATTTGAGACAAGGAAAACTTGAGACCAGGAAAACTTGAGACAAGGAAAACTTGAGATAAATCTGAATGAGGAGAGGAACCTGCTTGTGTTGGTTCAAAATTTTAAGTTTTCCTTGATGCGGAAAACTCGGAGAAACGCACTGCGATAAGTGTCTCCAAAAGTGTCTGTCTCAAATTTTCTTTGTCTCAACCGTTTCTGTCTCGAACTGTCCGTGTAAAGTATCTGTCTCAATTTGGCCCTGATTGGAATTGTCTGTCTCGATTTGTCCTAGATCCCTATTTATTTGGCCAAGAAGCCAAAAACCAAAAAAATAGACATTCATAAAGATTCAACCAAACATTTTTGATGAGATTCACTCACAAACGGTTGACGAAAGTGAAAAATCAGGAGCAGAATCCGTTGGGGAACACAGCAGGAAATTCCTTGATAGAAGCAACGAGAAAACACAACTTTGTTTTACGAGAAAGATTAAATTTCAAGGAATCAATTCTGGTTTTCCTAGTTTAAATGAAGTTTTCATGAAGATTGGCAAAATTTTCAGACGTAAAATATGCTATGAAGATTTTTCAAAGGTTCATTATTAAAATCATTATTTTTCGTTTGTCCAGGATTTCTCTTGCAATCGTCAGAATTTTTAAAATTTTGCTTTAAACTTGTCTTCGTGCTTTTGAATAGAGTGATTTGAAAGAACTGTTCACGTAAGTGCCAACAATGTTAATCATGAGAAACACGAGAATTACTTCGGTAAAAAAAAATGTAGTAGATCAGTTTTCACATGGATGGAGAGCATTGAGTCCATTTGTTACCGCATTCTGCTGGTAAAACTGTTCTTGCAGCATTTTGCGAGATAATGTTCGGACATGGCCGGACAATACTTCGGATTCGAAAGAATGAATCTCTGTAATATCCGAAGAAGAAAAATCCAAAATTTTAATAGTGATTCTTGTGTGACGAACTTTTCGTTTGATTAAGATTCCTTTCAAGGTCCTTGAAAGTTTGATCATTTTTAACGAAATTTCTCGTGCACAAATATTCACTGGAAAACTTGGCGGCGTTTCAGAGAATGGAGCCTCGGAGCAATTTGAACCGGGCCGCCAGCGAGACGAGCAAGCGCAGTTCGCGCAGCGTCATCACGGGCGACGGCGGCAGCAACGCGGCTCTTTCGGTGTCGCCGGCGCCGGGCGACGAGGACGCCCCCAGCAGCCGAGCACCCAGAGAACAGAAGGTGCTCAAACGACCGCCTATGAATTACACCAGTAACTTGGTCTTGCGTCGGAGCCGCACCAAATGCAAAAACGCCGAGCCGCCGAAAGTGATCAAGCTGGACGACTTTTGCGACCCGTCCGGCTGCGTCAGCGTCACCTTCGAGCTCTGCATCAAGGATGACGGAAATTTACAAGTAAATCCAAGGAATATTAAAATTTCAGATTTCTTGAAATTTAATTTTAGAATTTTAGCGAATTTAGAAAAATTAAGAACTGCTGTATCCGGAGGCATTGTACTGTAATTAAATATTCTCATCCAACCGATTCGCATTCAACTGATCTTTTTTCTCAGAAAAATCAAAGAATGATGATTTTTTCATATTCATCATTTTAAGATGAGTTGATACAAATTTATGTACAATATTATTCTAAGAACGAACATTTTTGAGTTCAGTTACACTTGTTGCGGTTTCAAATGTAAACGTTGTCGAGGGAAATAAATATACTGTATTTACCAAGTGTCAACTTCGACATACAATCGCTAATGGGAAAACTTCAGACTCAGGTGGACTCTCTATAAACGATTTTCAAACTGAAATAAAAACGTTGTATAGACAGGATTTCGTCGTGAACAGACTCTTCAGAAATGTAAAATTGCTCATGCTATGAGAAAAATAAATTATTTTTGAAGTCTGTGTTGTACGATGTTTACGTTTTTGTCATTTCCCTCAAGAACCGGGTCATGCTGGATAAAAGTACAGTAAATGAAATGTAGGCATGATTATTCTGACATCTGGTCGAAGATGATATATTTCTTAAACACAGTGTAAATATATTGGTTACTGCATTATTAGAGCACCTTCTTTTATTTTTCCCAGCATTTTACACCATATAAGAATTGAACTTTTCAAAAGACTTAGGATTCCCACTACTTGATAAAAAGGGACTCTCCCAAATCTTGGAGGACCAGGAAAAAGTGTTAGTTTCATATGACTTCTCCTCAAAGATTCTTTCAAAATTTTTTGATTAGTTAGAAATTATCTGAGAACAGTCTGAACACATTGTGCTTTATTTGTGTTCAGTAATTTTTTCTCTTCTAAAAGGAGATGGCAGTTTATTGTTCATGCAATTATGGCGTGTTTTCTTTTAATGCCTATACTGCATAGTGAATTGTCTTGAATGGATGCGCGGGTGTTGAAAAATGGTGTGAACCTTGAGAACGCTAAAAAAAACGGCAAATAAATCGTCAACATCAATTACGGTAATTTAAAGAAAACCTAAAACTATTTTAACGGGGTCAAAGGCATCAGAAAGACAAATTTTTTGTAGCATAACACTCTCTTCTCAACTTATCACAGGTTAAGTTGATCTCGAAAGAAACTGAACACGGGAAGATCGACAACATCTCAGACTCAGTCGACGACGAAGAGGCCGCCACCATCGCCACCGACACGTTCCCACGCGAGATCCCTGTCCGGGAATTTTTCACGGATCCGTCCATCCACTCCAAAGTCACAGAGCAGATCAATTCCTCGGGGATCGAAATCGCCGCCGGGATCGACCCCCATCACCATCATTACAGTCACGACGGGGTCAGCAAAAGCTCGGGCAGTGCTTCACCGAGTCCAGGCCTGAGTGTCACAGCGCAAGATGGCGAAGACCTGAAACTATTGTCGGAATTCGACGACATCAAGCGGGAATTGCTCAACATCCCGGACGTAGAGGTTATTCGCGGGGGTAATGACGGTCGGGCTGTCGACGACGACGATGACGAAGACTTTTTCGATTGACGAGAAAATGTATTGTTATCCGATCGCTCGATTGATTGATTGATTGATTGATTGCTTGTTTGGTTTTTTGTTTCGCCTTGCCTTCCTTCGCGACGCGGAGCAAAATAATATGATTACGCGATGTTCATGCAAACGGCACTCGTAGTAGACGATTGATATAAACCTGGAAGCATTTCAGTCCTGTGAAATAAAAGGCGTCACTTATAATATATTGATAGTATTCCGTTTGTTGAATTCAGCTCCGGGAAAATGGACGAAATCAGAAAATTTCCTACAATGTTTGCAACTTTTGAAGAGCAGTCATGAAGTAATTGTGATGGGCGCGAAGATGAACCAGTAAGTTTATATATTCCTCCAAAACAGAAAAGCCGAAACAGAAGCTTTTGGGGAATCCATGCTCGATTCTAATCGATAAATAATTATTCCGTGTTTGAGTAATTAGTGCTCTAGCCGTCAATTTTATCGAATAGAAATCACCTTAATTTATAAAATTTTTGGCGGGAAAGATGCTTCAGTAATGTTTTAACTGGTAGAAGACTATAATACGAGTGCTGGTCCGTGAGTGCTCAGAAATTAAGATGATTCAGCCGGATACTTTTTGTGTTGATGAATTTCCCTCGTGAGTCCACTCAAGTCTTTTGATTTTTCGTGTCATTTGAAATGGCTCTCGAATCTCTTAAAAACTGGAATTGCATTCGGATAATAGAGTCTTTAACCTCCAAGGCATTTGAGTCACATCATTCGGGAATTAAAATAAAAACTTCAAGAACGCCGTTATTTATAACTATTACATTAAGTCAATCTTAGAAGGTCACCTTCAATAGCTCTTCGAAGATACGCTGTTTAAAAAACTCATTGCTCTTTTAAGATGATCTTTAATTGTTCTACGATGGTTCTCTGCATTAATTCCTGTCCCAAAAATACATTAGTATTATCACCATTTGAAAATTTGAGGCTATACTAAAATTCCTTTCCACTGACTGAAACAAATTGCAAAAAAGAAACTTTTTCGCATAGCGCGTGCTTTCTACCATCATTTTTGAGTTGTTTATAATTTTTAGCCTGTTTGGCAAAACGCAGTCCATATGATAATGAGTGATAGATACAAGGGAGATGTTATAACGTGTAAATCTTTCTCGCCAAAAATATATCACCTAGTTTCAATTCTCTTTTTAAACTTTCAAATTTTATGGACGAACACTTTTTACATTGATGAAGAAATGCAATGCCTATCACCAAAAAAAAAGTATCTCGTTCACGTCATCGTTCACTTTTTGTGCCTCTCCGATGCTGTAAAATTGAAAAGCATTTATACAGTATAAGCAAGACTAAACACTTTCTTCGGATTATAATTTCCGGGACTGAAAAATAAACCTGACGCCAGCGATATGTTCATCCAGTGCCTGTACATTTATTAAATTCGTTTCCGACAGGTTTCCAAAAATCTTGAGATCATGCCTGTTTTTTTTTCGACAACAAAAAGATCGGCCATGCAACGAAAGAGTTTGAAATTCATTCCTAAAACGGGATTAATTGGCACTTGATTCCCAGGACTCGGCGTACAAAATACTGCGAAAGATTGACACTGAATTTATCAATAATGAAATGGATACGGATTTTGGAGGACAGGGTCGGTTTAATTTTGCAAAAAGAGACTTTTTTCATCGAGATCAAAACTGCCGCTTGATGTCGTCGTTGGACTGAATTGACGACGGTCCTGAAGCATCTTGAAATAAAGATTCTTCGGAAGACGCGATGTCGTCGTCGATGTGTCGAAAGACTTCTTGACTGCCCACAAAATCCATCCTGTACACGTAAAAATCAAACATTGAAGCCGAATGATTAAAAATCGATTTTAAAACTGTTTAGGCTATCACGTCAGTTAGATGAAAGCGCAGGAAAATCGTCCATCAAGAACTTTGACACGTGCATTAAAATCTCAGATAGCTCTCAACATCGAATAGAGCCCATAAAATTTATTTTGGACATTATTTATCATCGAAATCTCCAAGCATGGAAAATATAGGTCACAGGAATATTTAATACAGCTTTTGTAAAATTCTCTTTCGCGCACGTTCCTAGCTTTCACGACGATGGTACCGACGGTATACGAGGGTCTTGACAGAAGTTCGTGCAATCATGCAAAAGATGTCATACAATTGAGCTTTAAAAAATTATTCTTTAGGGAAAACATATTCTTTGGCCCAAAACAAAATCAGTCCTCTTTGACAATTTGTTTCAATGCTTTGCAAAATTCACCCCAATAGAGTTTTGCCCTCCACTCAAAAGATGAGGCGCCCTTCCTGCAGAATTTTTGTTGTTGTAGACCAGCTTTCCCCTCAGAATTTTAGAAATCAACGTGGCATTCTTTCTAAGGGTTGCCTACAGATCTTCCAAGGCAATTCCGCCATTTTAATTTTAAGAATTCTGAGGGGAACTCTGGGCTACAACAACAAAAATCCTGCAGGATAGAAGGGCGCCTCATCTTTTGAGTGGAGAGCAAAACTCTGCTGGGGTGCATTTTGAAAAACATTGAAACAAATTGTCAAACAGGACAGATTTTGTTTTGGGCCAAAGAATGTGTTTTTCCTAAAGAATAAAATTTGTTCAGCTCAATTGTATGACATCTTTTGCATGATTGCACGAACTTTTGTCAAGGCCCTCGTATGTGAAAAGAAAATGCATTTCCGGGCTTGAATATAAAAGAGCAGAGAGGGAAAGAAAAGGCGTTGAGTGAAATCACCTTTCGGGAATGGGGGAAACCGATGGCATGGCAGGAAAGGAAACCTTTTTGGACGCCGGAACGTGCAACACGTGTCCGGAAGCGCAGTTCACGAACTCAGCCGGATGCTGCACCGTGTATTTCCGTCGGATGCCTTTTCTTAATGGCAACCCCGCGTGCTGAAAATTGCAGGAAAAAAACTCGGTCAGAGACATCAATCCCCTCGCGTGCAGAAAATGCATCGCCGAAAAAAAAAATCCGCGTTTGAATACAGCACGAGGATAAATTATTTTTCTTTCATTATTGGGTTCGATGAACACAACCCACAATTAAGTGTAGTGGATATGCTGAATCATATTGATAAGAAGAAAAAAATTAACCCGATTTAAAAAAAGGGGGGGTGGAGCATCTCTCGATCTCTTCAAGTTTGCGACCATTAATTTGAAAAATCTTACACGAAACACCGAAAAAAACCTAATTTGATGGTCCTTTTTGTCACTCAAGAAGAATTCACGGGCATAATAACTAAAGCTGTTTTTTTAAACTTCCGATTTCAATTTTCAAAGGAATATTTTCAAACGGTCATTCATCGCCATGAAACGAAGCAAAACCTTAAAAATCATAACTCCCTTGTATACAGCACTCTTTTAAAGAAATAAGCTCGTTTAAAAGCTTTTGGAACGTATCCATTAACTTTTAGAATATTAATGATTTCATTGTCGAATCCTTATCGATCGTTGATTTGGCTCATTGCATGAAGACACATAATCTCTTCTTTTGTAAATTCGGCTCTCAAATTAATAAAATTCGCGCAGCAAATAATTCACTGATATTATTAACAAATTTTACTTCGAATTGCTTTTTAAATGCTTTATGATGTGCATTCGTCCTTGATCACAGAGAACCAAAGACAAAATTGATCATCAGCAGCCTCGACATTTCTGCTGTCGTATGCAACAAAAATTTGACAAATTCATTCTTACAAACACATCAATTAAACTAAGCATGCTGATTTGACTATCGCGTTCTCTCCTGATTTCATTCTTGGCTACATTTTCAACAAATTTATGAAGTTTCGATCGTTCACGGCACTGCACCATAGGTCGTGAACACGTTTTTTTTTCCTCGCGAAGCAAATAATTTACAAAAATTTTAATGCATTAAATTTGGGGTGAAATTTTAATTTGTGTATGATGTACACTCTTTGATAAAAGCGAAAAAATTAAACGTAAGACTCGACATGACTGCTGTCACATGAAAATAATGTTCGCAGCAAAAATTGGACGAATCCCTCCTCACAAACACATATATTAAACTTCGCATGCTGATTTTACTATCACGTTCTCTCATGATTTTATTTTTGGCTAATTTTCAGCAAATACAAAAGGTTTCTATAAAGGGTTCATACAGGGACACGTGGTACCTTGACCTCCGATTGGGTCGGCTGTGACACGTCGATAGCGTAAATGCGGGGATGATCAGCAGCGTCGAGGCTGATGCGTGACCCCAGGCCGATCCCGAGCTGCTGCTGGTCGCACCCAGGTCGGGTACCGAATTCGTCCATCAGCCAGGTGTCGTCCTCGGGAAGGAACCCAGAAGTGGGTTTCGGCCTGTTTGGGTTCATTTGGCCGTCCACGTAGGTGTCCAATGAGCTGCAATTGGTCGTCTCTGACACAGNTGTATTTGTCTTATTCTTTTTCCATATGCGGTCAGATTTTTTTTTTGTATTTGCGATGAAGGTATCCGTTAAAAAGAAATGATCTCATCCACTTGATTACAGCAGTACTTTATACAGTGCGAGTTATACTGTACTCTGAATTTTCTTCCACAAAATCAGGCTCAACATTTTTCTTCACGATCTCATAACGTTATAATCGATGAAGTCTTGTTTCTAAAGAAAACAATTTCTTGAATTTATTCAAGTTCAGAATTTAATTCAATAAATTCTGGTATCCATTTTTAGGTCGAGGGCTTTAGATTTAAAATTCTGATTTGTTTCGGGGGACGGATTGAATTTATTAAATGCAGATGCTTTTCCAGCATTTGCTACTGGTTGGACGATTTTTCTGGTGCACGTGGACTCTCCTTACAACAATCTTGCGTAAAACAAATTTCTCCGTAGATATAGATTTTTTAGTTGGTCCCATTATTATAGGGTTCTGTTATTCCCATGTATTCTACTTATTCTCTACAATGATTTTTTTTCTGGTCCATTGCGTTTCGTCTTGGAGAGAGTCCAAAGACGAAGGTCACTATAGATAAAAACGTTCATAGCTTT